TTAAACTTCAATTTGTATTTTATTCTTTAGGTGCTGTTTGCACATGGTTCACCTCTATGTAAACTGTTAAAAAAAGTTGAACTTGATTTGAAAGAAGCTGTGGACTTAGATGAAGTGACTGTGACAAGTATTCAATTCTTACGTAATAATATAAAACAAGAGTTCAATAAAATGTTCAAAGAAGCTGAGGTAAAGATTTTGATAAAATTTATTATTTGMCAAAGCAATTATTATTTTTTTTTTTCAGAAAATGGCCGATTTGGTTGGCGTAAGTATTTCAATTAAACGCCAGAWTAAAATAAACAAAAATCTAGCCAATCTCTGTATTGATGATTTAACACCAGAACAATATTATCGTTTAATAATAGCCATACCGTTTATTGATTCATTTATACAGCAATTAAATGAAAGGTTGTTGACGCACAAAAATATATTAAAAGGCTAGTTAATACCACCTATTTTATACATGGAAATGTGCCATAAACAGCTGAGGAAGTGTTGGAMGATCTGGCGAAAAAATCAAGAAAATTAACTTTTTATTATAATGTATTAAAATTTAAAATATATATAATTTTTTAAAATAGTACAAAATTTGTAATTATTATGATTGTGGGAGGTGTGGGGTACAGATCCCCCCACTTTAATATTCTAGTAAATTTTCAGAACCCCCTCCCACCATTGAAAATTCCTGAGAACGCCATTGTATAGAGATAATACTTTGTGATTGATTCAACCTTCTCATACGCATTATTATGAATACTAGAAGACAGACTTATGACCAGGGCTCGAGACTTATAGCACTAAAAAATCATGAAATATGCGCTATTATATGCACCGAAAAAATGTAAAATATGCGCTATAATATGCACTAAAAATATGAAAATATGCTTTAAAAATTATTTACTAAACATTTTTATTTAGACATTTATGAATTTATAATTATTAAAATTTAAAGAAAATTTTTTATATAATTTTACAGTTATAATTTTCTACAAATAATGACTAAAAACTCTTTCCTGTTCTCATTAATTTGTATGTGTCGAATTTTACTGATTCTTCWTGTTTASGTTTWATTGSTTTTKTATGTTTGTCAGTTTTAAGATGTTGTGTTAHAWTGRATTTTTTTYCACAATTTACTTTAATTTCACAGTATTTGCAGAAAAGAATAGATGAATCGTGTGAAAACGTATCTGAACCGAATTCTTGTACATAGCTTCTTAATCGTCGGGCTAGTGATAAATTTATCTTTTGRCATGGTATAAAAAATATGTTTTAATGAAACACACAAAGCTGAACAAAGAAAAATTAATAAATTCACAAGTTCACTATACGGATAAAAACGCACATACGAGCGCAATCAAAAGTCGACGTATACTAATCGATTACGTCGTTGTAGATCGGAACAGTCTATAATTATTGGGTATATAAGCAAGTATGATCGAAGTCGATAACAGAAACAACATTAAGATAAAAGATACGATAAACACAATATTGTCTTGCATTGGAATATTTTAGGAATATTTTTTTCAATCGACAATGAGTTTTATAACGTCCCAAAACTGTCGATCACTGATGAGTGACCGAAATATGTATTTTTGCAGGACTGAGTCATAAGTTATGACTTACCTATATAGTTCTTAATTATTATACGCTCTTATTATTATTATTAATTAATTCCCTTGCATGATCCTACACAATACATAATACTTAATTATACATAATATGGCGTTCGTGTGTTGTAGATGATTTTTTCACCAGCAAARGCAATGGATTCGGTTACGTCGATTGGCAGTAATCAGGACGTGGATGGTTTCCGGAAAAAGTACGGGCCCAAGTCTACTGACTCGCTGACGTTCTCCATCGCTCGCATCATGGAACCGGACATCCGGAAACAGCCAAGTGCACCGTCGGCCGATTACTTTCATGCACTCGAGTCGGCTTTCAAGAAATACGTACCGGCGTTCAGATCCAATCCACTGCAAACCACGCACTGCGCGGTCACCTCCAACGATGGACGGACACCACTGACCGTCAACAACAATGACCGTTATTTRTCGACGACGATGACGACAACGACGACAGCAGTACAACTGTTTCACTATCAACAACATCCTAGGCTATCCTACGATACAGAAGACAGACCAGCTCATTCCCGTCCCCAACCACCGCCGCCATCATCAGAACTTTCGACGCTGGCTGTACTTCCGGTGCTCCCTGCACGTCAAGTGCCACCACCACCGCCGCCACCAACATCACATCAGATGACGCTCGGGCGATTTGCAGTAACCAAGTCCGTTCAACCGTCATCTGGTGCCAAGGAGCTATCACAGACGATCACCTCTGTCACACCAGTTAAGACTTTCACGTGCAACCATTGCGGAAAAGTGTTCTACGCTCATTATAACTTGACGAGACACATGCCCGTCCACACAGGCGCCCGGCCGTTCATTTGCAAGGTATAAATAAATAATATAAAAATTAAAAATTTAGTATGATGAACAAACTTAATAAAATTACATAAAAATTAACATTTGATTTAAATTAAAAATATCACATAAATATAATACTAAAAACATTTATCTTGCTTAAGAAAAATATTATTTATTTCAGTTTGTCTGTTTTTTATTTTTATTTTTTACAAATTTAATTTAATCATTAAAGAAAGTTTTGATTAGTTWAAAATTTWKWACGCTTATCATATGTGTGGTGATTGGGATTGCGCGGCTAAAGAGCAGAATAAAAAACACTTGAGAACTCATAGGTCTATATTAGATTTCTACCTATATGAATTTCTTTGACATAAAAAATAAAATAAAATTAGGTAAGTACCTATATTAATTGTTTAACCACTTAAATAAGACTCAAAGAATAATAGATAAAATTAAATAGGTGTTGTTAATAATTTTATCATAGATTTATATCTCTATTATGAAGATTTTCGATATAAATTATAACCAATTTAATTAATGGACATAGAATTACATTAGATTTTGAAATGAAAATTGTGTTCAGAAAAATAAAAATGCCAGCTTATTCATTAATAATAATTGAAGTAACTTAATTACCAAAGAAACAAAATAACAAAATAATATATAAGCTGAAATACCTAACAATGGGTTTAATAGCTCGTGTGTATRAAAAAAACTTCAGCAGTCGGCCAAATAGCAATCAATCATGCTAGGTAACGGTAATTTAAGAATTAGTAATTTTGTATTATCTACTAAATTTTCAGTGAGAAAAAAAACATTAAAGTGTAAACAACTGTAATAAAAAATATAACTTAAAATGTATACACACATAATAGACTTGAATCATTTAATAACAAGAATTAAAATTTTAAAATATAAGAGAATATTCTTACCCTATAAGTATTGGAGTTCCTCAAGGCAGCATTCTCGTTCCTACCATATATAATCTATATACCACCAAAAAACCACACTCAAATAATTCTAGTCTAGCGACCTTTGACGATGACATCGTGATTCTGTCTTCTAAAAAATGTCTTCAAACTGCCACAAACCATCTTCAAGGACATATTATGATCCTACAACACCGGTTTTACAAATGGAGGATAAAAATTAACGAAAATAAATCAACTCTCATTACATTTAATCTTGGTCATAAAAACAGTCAACCTATTATACTAAATAACAAAATAATTCCAATACAAAACTATAAAATATCTTGGGCTGCACCTAGACAAAAGATTAAGTTGGGCAACCCATATAAAAACAAAAGATTTTCCATCATTCGACCGGAAATGACCTATGGCATGTAAATTTGGGAATCCTTTAAAAACTCCAGCTTAAATAAATTCCAAACCTTTCAATCCATAAATCTCGGACTCTTAACCAACTCTCCCTGGTATGTCAGCAATCTCACTCTTAAAAATGTTGACTATCTATGAAATTGCGTCAAATCACTACATACAATTTTATAAAAATACTATTAATCATTCAAACCTGCTCTGCTGACAAAAATTGGAATTATCGTACAAAATTTTATTTAATTTTGAATTCCTCGGTTTTTGATTAAAATTATATGTGACAGACCTAGTTTATTGTGTTTTAGTGTAATATTATAATAATTATTTATACATTAAACCTATAGATACGCTGGCTGTAGGTAATTATACAATGTTTAGGATAATAATGATTAAGAACGAATCAATATCGGAAGCTAATATAATTAATGTAATAAAAATGTGAAAGTAGGTTTAAAAACTTTGCCTTTCATTTTAAACATATTCAACAACACTTTATACTTTTTGAAATTTCATTGCGTCTAAATCAATTCATAACCATCACCCATTGTATTAAAAAAGTTTGCGTTATATTTACAAAAGATTTTTCACTAATCATAGGTCTTTATTGTCTACCCACTTGCACGATCTGTTTGATCTCAACAACATGCACCCTTACTGCGTATTTGTACACCCTACGAACGTATACAAACAGAACAACATACCACTCAAATTTATCAGTATAATGAGAACTACCAAGTACCAAACACCATGCGAGGTCTCAAACCTTTAATCTTATTAGTCAAATCAATAAACAAAATTTAAAATATAAATTAATTAAGTTTTACTCTGTTATTTCGATAACATATTTAATTTTAAYAATTAGTATTCATTTAATTTTAATGTAAATAATACTGTTAATTAAACCAGTACGTTAAAATAATGGTAAAATAATATTCTATAATTATATAAATATAATATCATTTGTGGTACAATATTATTATTTTTTTAAAGGGGGAAATATAGGTAATCGCTCAGCTGTATAGTAAGAGTCTAGTAAGTAGTAAATGCCTAGTCATTGATTAATTTTTGACAAAAACATTGAATTTATAATATTATTATTTAATAATATTGAATTATTGCAAGGTATATAAACTTTTGCGTCAATAAGGATTTACCGTGGAATGGTGTGAATAGGTTCATGGTATAATATACATGAAATAGTCTGCACGTTTTGAAAATGTCATTGTGTATATAAAATATAATGATATTAGCATAGGCGTAACTTGGGCTCTTTTCACGTGGGGGCAAATACAATTTTTGCAAACCTCTATACACATTTTCATTTCAGAAGTTAAAAAAAAGTTGTAAAAACGTCTATCATAGTTCTATATATTCTATACGAATAACCGAACCGAACCTATGACATATTCTATACGACCGTTATYAGTTATCGCTTTAAAATTCTTACATGTGCCATAGAGTAATATTACTCTATGACATGTGCAAATGTGCAATGATAATGTGAATA